TTTTGCGGAAAACAGTACTGTGCTGTTTACACTGGCCCTTTTGCACAAAAGTCTTTCGGAAAAAGACTTTTGCCCAAACGGGAGCAGCATAGTATTTCTGGAAAAGCACTGATGATCTTACATGAGATCGTCAGTGCTTTTCCAGAAATTCAAGCGGCCAGTGTAGACAGCTGGCAAGTTTTTCTGGAAAAGCGTCTGATTTTCTGGAAAAACTGGCCAGTCTAGACACAGCCCTAGTGTAGATCAGGCCAAACAGTGCAGTCAAAATCCTGCCCGCTCCCACCCACCTGTTCATTTATTCCCCTGTAGTAGGTCAGGACGGCAATGTAGTAAGTTCAGGATTCACTGGTGTGGCATCCTGATATGTCTACTGCTCCTTCAGTGATGATCAGCATTCGGCTACGTGTGTTTTCATAGGCTCCCACAGATTGTGTCAGCTCTACATAGGTAGCTAGTGCAATAAACTTCACGAGAGCCTCCAAAGACCACAGTAGACAAACAGATTTATTGGAGCATAAGCTTTTGTGGGCAAATACCCACTTCCTCAGATGTAATGGGTCTTTGTCCACAAAAGCTTATGCCCCAACACATCTGTTAGTCTATAAGGTGCCACAGGACTCCTCATCACTTTTGCAAAGTCAGACTAACATGGTTACCCCTCTGATACCAAAGACTACAGACTCAGGTAAGGTACAAAGGCATCCAATTCAGGTTTATTGACAAACAAAGAATATTAACAGTCATCAGTAGCCAGACGGCCTCTGAGGCCCTATGCGTTTGAACTCAGGACAAAGGACTCCGCTCAGTTAACAGTATGGATTTTAGTGTCGCCCTGTAGGCCAGACAAGTTAAGTCAAGGTACGCCAACATTTATAGGTGGAGACAAACAATCTATGATTGTTTGTCTCCTCCTATAAATTTTAATTATCCCCATATTGACTGGATACATGTCACCTCAGGAAGAGAAGCAGAGATAAAATTTCTCAATGGCTTAATTGACTGCTTCTTGGAGCAGCTGGTGCAGGAACCCACAAGGGGAGAGGCAATTCTCGATTTAGTCCTGAGTGGAGTGCAGGATCAGGTCCAGGATATAACCGTTACAGGACCGCTTGGGAATAGTGACCATAATATAATAACATTCAACATTCCTGTGGTGGGAAGAACACCTCAGCAGTTCAGCACCCTGGCATTTAATTTTAAAAAGGGGAATTACGCAAAAATGAGGAGGTTATTTAAACAGAAATTAAAAGGCACAGTGACTAGAGCCAAATCCCTGAAAGCTGCATGGAAACTTTTTAAAGACACCATAATAGAGGCCCAACTTAAATGTATACCCCAAATTAAAAAACATAGCAAGAGACCTAAAAAAGAGTCACCGTGGCTTAGCCACCATGTAAAAGAAGCAGCAAGGGATAAAAAGGTATCTTTTAAGAAGTGGAAGTCCAATCCTAGTGAGATAAATAGAAAGGAACATAAACACTGTCAAATCAAGTGTAAACACATAATAAGAAAAGCAAAAAAAGATTTTGAGGAACAGCTAGCCAAAAACTCAAAAAGAAATAACAAAATGTTTTTAAGTACATTAGAAGCAGGAAGCCTGCTAAAAAACCCATGGGTCCCCTAGATAATCGAGCTATAAAAGGAGCAATCAAGGA